TTTCTAAGACCATCTAAAACCCTTCGCAAGGCTCAGAAATGAAGGAATTCTGGGACTTCTTTCTACTAGAATGATTACATCATCCTGTATGTGCTTGTAAAATCACATCCTGTATGTTCTTGTAAAATCACATTCTGTATTTGCTCGTTCATATTGTTTTTAACACGTGGAAGGCTTTCTCATTATCGTTAATTCAATTGTTTTTGGATCTGTCTCATCATTGCACATTGCCTTGGAAGCCACAGGATAAGTGGGTTGGAGATTTAGTACTCATTTGGCTCAAGGGAGGAGAATAGTGCTTGGCAGTAGGAGGACCCATTTGTCTCTGGGGAGGATGGAGAGTGCTTGGCAGTAGGAGGACCCATTTGTCTCTGGGGAGGATGGAATAGCAACAACATTATATTTCTGTGAAATTATAAGACGAGCATGCGATTTCATGGAGCCTCCAGTCTGTTTTGAGAGAGAGAAGAAAACAGCCCTTGTTCTGTAGCCAGAAGTACCTTAAGGAAATGGTTAGTGTCTGGCCTTTCTTTGTTCTTAAGGAAAATAGTTTAGGCTTTGTAGTAGAGTTCCAGACTGGACTTTCTAGGGACCTACAACAGAACAGCGAAGTTTAAGCTTGTTCACAAAACATTTTTAGTTAAAAACCAAAACAAAACAAAACCCACAGAAACCCTAAAATTTGTGTACACTGCTGTCTGTCACCATCCTCTGCTTAGGGAGTCTGCTTATTGACTTCTAGCAAGAAGAGGCCCTTGCACCCTTTCCATTCTTCCCCTTATGTATCAGATCAGTTCTCTAAAAGAAGGAAAATCCCATGACCTAAAATTACTCTTGAGCTAGCTTTTTAGTCTCCTCTTTTGGAGGGACTGTTTGCTGCAGCGTAAGGGATTTTAGGAGCTAGTCACATGCCCACGTCACAGATGTCTTTGTCACTCTTTGTGCGCTCCCTCCGTTCTGTTTTGATGGTAACGGATGCATCAGATGGCTCTAGTGTCCTTGCCTTTATTTCCCCATCGGCATTGAACTGCTGTTTTCTCGACTTCCTGAGCCTCACCTTGTCTGGAGAGCACCTGGTGTCTGTCTGCTCCAGGCTGGGTCTGTGTCACTTGGCCTCACTGCAGGATTTGCTCCTCTGTGACTTGGAGATTTCTGCAGCTCCGTTCAGCAGCATTCCAGATCCTGCAGCTTGAGATGCTGCTGCATTGGTGCCTCTAGAAAATGCTTCGTCTGGGATGAACCTCAGCTCTCATCCCCTCTCTTCATTATGAAGGCAGATGGAAACTCATGCTCACTTCTTCAGGGGGACTTTATTTAGCCCTGCGCAGGGTGTTCCTGTTTCCATAGGCAGTGATCCTCATTGAAGTCTCTTCTTCCCCTCTCCCTTCCTCCCGCTCCCTACTTCTTTTCTGCTATGTCTTTAAATTCTTCTCAGGCCTGAACTCTCTGTAAATGCCTTTCTCTTTTACCTCAGAGAAAATAACAATCTGGTTCCCTTAGCTTTTCCATGACATCTAGAGGCTCTTGTTAGAGGGGAAGGAAAGATCTCAAGTCTCAGGACAGGGCAGCTTCTCATGCAGTGTCGACAGTCTTTGTCTTCCTGTGTTCTGTGTAGCCTGTCAGCCTCTTTTCTAGGCTCTTCACACGGACATTTGCCGGTGCTCTCATCTCTTATGCACTGGTTCTGTCTTTAAAAACAAAACACCCCAGGAAAAATCGTATTCTTTTTTCTCTGTGCACTTCAGTCATCTGTGCTGTTTTTCACGGTTATCCCTCTGAAGAATGACTGTCCCCAAGAAGCTCACACCTTTCAGTTAGGATCACCTGCTGTCTGGCCTTTTCCATACATATTGCTAAGGTGACTGAGTTTATACAGTGTCCTATAAATTAAGACGTTCTTATATGATACCTGTTCCCCTTCCAGCTCTTGTGTCTGGATCTATTCTATTACTGTATTTGAATGACCCTATAGATTATATATGTCCTGCAGAGGTTGGCATCTCAGGAGAGAGGTCAGCTCCCATCGCGTGCTGGCATAACATAGGCTGGCAACTGTTCACGGTCACAGAAGATAAGCGAGAAGATTCAAAATCATAGACGTTTGAGCCTACATTTAACAGATACATCTTCTCACACAGCCACACCTCCTCCTTCATTTATCCAACACAGCTTATTCTGGCTCACATTTTCACAGGTTTTGGTTCGTGATTGCTTGGCTCCTTTGCTTTTATGCCGGTGGTTAGGTGGAGTGGAGCTGTTCAATTTATGTTGAGCAGGAAGCCCAGAAGAGAAGAGGCTGAATTCTAGTGACCTCACAGTGACCTGCTGTCTTCCACCACAACCCCTCTTGCAAAGGTTCTGCTAGTGCCGAGGCTGCCAATGGATCCTGCAGCTGTGAACCTTTGGAGGCCATAACAGTGCTCCTAGGTAGCTGTTTGTTTGCATAAAATGTGGGAGCAGTTATAGATATTTCAATTTTTTTTCCACACTTAGTTCACTTAGCTTAAGCTGCAGATATGTCTCAGATCTGCCTATTTCTTTCTTTGTGTCTACATTTGTGTGAACCACAACAGTGTCTTGTCTCCTGGGGAAACTTCCTGGGAAGAGTTTCTCCTTCCACTTTCCCCACCTCCAAGTCCTTTGCTTGGAGAGGCGGATCTTTAAAAGGTGCTTGACCGTCCAGTGGCGTCCATCGTCAGGGTCCTGACCGCAGCGTGCGCTGGCCTCTGTCGTCACTCCGCTCTTTCTCTTCCCTCCAGCCACACTTCCCCGCTGGCATTTGCTGGCACAGGCAATGTTTCTTTTTGCTGTATCCCGTCCCTCTGCTGGCTCCCGTTGCTCCTCATGTTCCTGAGTTCTTCTCATCTTTCAGCACGTAGTTTGTATGTCACTGCTCTGAAGAAGCTCAGACTGAGCACATTCCCCCTCGTCATGAAGTCCTGCCACACTCGGCTCTCTTTTCTCCATGGGAAAGCACCACTAGAATTTGCACTTGCTCCTCCCTACTAATGAGCAGATTTCCTGAGGGCTAGGGGCTTCTTATTCTTGTATACATATCACAGCCCAGGTGCTCACACGAGAAACTTTCCTGAGCTACACAGGCTCTGGTAAGATGTCTTGGATGGGTTAGTGCCCATCGGGTACTTTGGCTGCAGGATTCCCTGGGGTTGTTAATCCCTGTATCTCTCTTTTGTGACCATAGCTATTTGCCAGCCTCTGTTACACTGGCATGCTTTGCCAGAATGATTCCTGAGCATGTCAGCCTCTTCAGAAGATGTGTGTATTATGCAGGGGTTTACTCTGCAGCAGCAATAGGCGAGATCTGGAGAGAGGAGCTTTGAAAACGACACAAGTGTCATATGTATTTTGTTACAATTTATATTAATTTATTCCATTTGTGCTTGTGTTGGAGGGGCACACAGAGACCACTGTACATGTGTAGAGGTCAGAGGACAATTTGGGGAGTGAATTCTCACCTACCATGTAGGTCTTCGGGATCAAACTGGTTGTTTGACTTGGTGGCAGATACCTTTGCAGGCCCAAGTATCTAATTTATGAAAATTGTCTGTAAATTGAATCATCTGCTTTCTGTTATTCACATGGGCCACCCCAGACCTTGTTGGTTGGCCAGGATCCCTGCCCCATGCCAGTTCGTGTCTACTCTCTTCAGTGTGGTGTTCTCTAGCTTGTCACTGCTTCCCGTCACATGGCGCTAAACGTACAACATTTGAAGTTAGCATTCAAAACTTAAAATGACTGCGTTTGGAAGCTGAGCCATTCTCTTTGTGCGAACTGTTCTGTTCGTTTGGGCCTGTGTTACTCTAGCTCTTCTGATACTAAGCAGCAAATTTTCCACATGGGTGAGTAGCTTTCAGGAGTCCTTGTGTTTGAAGAGACATTTACATGTTTTCTATTTACCTTGCATTGTGAGTGTTAACTTTAGAAGGATTTTAGTGAGTGCAGAGGAGCCTTTGGTGAAAGTGAGACTCCCAAGGCCAGGAGCGCAGCTCCCTGAAGAAGCACTTGCCTGGTTCACAAAGGGGAGGGGAGGGGAGGAAACTGCGCTTGATGTCTGATTGTTCCCTTTAAAATTTCACCATCTTCCCCTTTAGTTTAAGCTTGGTTCTTTTCTTTTCCTTCCTTCCTTCCTTCCTTCCTTCCTTCCTTCCTTCCTTTTTTTTTTTTTTGAGGCACTTTGTGAAAGGCAGATGATGCCACATTCTTGTGTAGTGAGTGCTCCATCCATCCTCTGAATATTTCTGGATCTTAGGGTCGGACTTTGAGAAAGCCACTGATGATTAGCACATACTGTTACCAAGTATGCTTTCCTTAGGTAAATATTCCTTTTATTTGCATTTTCAGCATTTTGAGGCTATGAATAAAAAGTCCAAGTGAGCCGGTGTAATACGTGTGTGAGATGGTGGTCAGAGTGTGTGTGACCTGTCATCTTGACCCCCCCGAAGTTATGCTTGCTAGCAGGGCCCAGCACTTGGCCTCTCTTTTCCTTGAATCTCCATGATTTTGTCATGTTGCTCGTGAATGTACCTCCCACCCTCACGATGGTGAGGAGTTGTCAGTGATGGAGCAGACTCCCTGTATTCAGAAGAATATGCACAGTTCTGAGTCCTTTCCTTAATGTGGGCTGATTAGCAGTGCAGGAATGGAATTGAATTTTAGATTTCTGAGGAGGAGGTGATCTCAAACAGAAGTGTTCTGTAGTGGGGTCCCGGAGCCCTTTGTTGGCGGCTAGCCTGCATGCTGTGCATGGAGAGCTGTGGGCTGAGCTGCATTTCGCTGCCAGCTGCTTCAGCCCTCTTCCCTGAAGACGGTTCCAGACGTGTAGCTCCTTAATGTGTTATACAGCGCCTTTAGTTGTTATATGGCAGGCTGAGGACACACAGCTAACTGTGTTGTTCCCTTACTTCTGGGTGGAGGGCTCGAGGCAGATGCAATAGTGTGCTTCCCTAACGCTGTTCTTTTGTTATTACTCTGTTCTCTAGGCATTAAGTGTCACCGAAACCCTGATTAAACCCTTGGAGAAATTCCGAAAAGAACAACTCGGAGCGGTAAAGGTTTGTGTCTACTTTGAGCACACTTGTAAACAGAGCATGCTGGCGCCTTTTCTGTATTCACATTTGGCAGAGTGAAGGGCATGCTGGGATAGACCATCTGTTGTTTGATGTTTTCAATGCACTTTTCCCCTTCGGGGGTAGAATTGAAAATAAAACAAAATACCTGCATGGGTAGTAAAACACCTAGTAATCTTTGACCAAACCTTTGTAGGGGGCTCGCGGTAGTCACAGGTGTGTGTGTGTGTGTGTGTGTGTGTGTCCTTCCCCGCAGCAGTTGCAGGTGTGTGTGTGTGTCTGCGGCAGTCGCAAGTGTGTGTGTGTCCATCCCCGCAGCAGTCGCAGGTGTGTGTGTGTGTGTCCGCGGCAGTCGCAAGTGTGTGTGTGTGTACACAGCAGTCGCAGATGTGTGTGTATGTGTGTGTGTGTCCGGCAGTGGCAAGTGTGTGTGTATGTCCATGGCAGTCACAGGGTGTGTGCCCGCGGTAGTCACAGGTGTGTGTGTGTGTGTGCTCGCGGCAGTCACAGGTGTGTGTGTGTGCCCGTGGCAGTCGCAGGTGTGTGTGTGTGTGTGTGTCTCTGACAGTTGCAGGGGTGTGTGCACGCATCTATGTTGTGTGAGAACTCTGTGACTAGGCATTGATTAGGGGCTCTGTTCCCACATGATGCCGTGGAAACCAGGGAGAGTCACTGTTGTTGGGGTGTGATTTCCTTGACTCTAGCAGAAATCGATTGAGCTTCTATTATGTGCAAGTATTTATTGTACCAGTGACCTACAGCCTCACATTCAAGGGTTTGGGATGTAGCCAGGACTCCCTGGAATCATACAGCCGCTTTACCACAGCGGGACCTGAATATGTTTAACAACTTCTAAAGTTTGTGATCTCAGCCTTGAAGTTAACCCAGAGAAATGATTTCCACCACTCTTTCTTTTTCTAACATGAGGGAGAAGTACCATTTGTGTGTTGTTGACCATTCTTGTTCTAGATCAAAGAGAAGAGAGTCATACATTTTAAGTAGGGAAGAGAACTTTCTCTCTTTGTTTTTGGGTATGAGCCTAGCCTTTAATGGCTGAGTCATCCCTCCAAACCGGAAGGGAACTTTCGTGTTTGTCACTTTTCATAGAAAAAAGTCAGAATCCTTTGGTAGAGATGAATCTTGTGCCCAGTAACTGTAACTATACAGCTGGACCGGCCCGCTCCAGTATTCCTCCTTTGAAGCAGTTTGTTGGATTAGTTGATATTCCTCTTTGGTCCCCCGATACTTGACAGAGACACTGTAAGTTGAGGGTAGTGGTGTCTGTGAGGAGCCCCGTCCCTCCTCCTGACAGGTGAACTGCAGCAGGTGATCGGGTGCCCCTTTCTGCTCATCCTTGTCTTAGCCGTGACGCGAAGGACCTGGTGTCCTTTGGGTTTTCTCTGATGTGTCTTCTCTTTGGAATGTTGGACATGCTCTGTTTCATTGGCCGGCGCTACGTGAGACAGCATTCATTTCATGCTTCAATCAGAAGATGGGTGGGGGAGGGACGACAAGAATTATATTGCCTTAAGGTATGAGTGATTAGTAAATTGCTTTGTGTTTTCATTGTCCACATAGTTCTCTAGGTTTTGAACATCTTTCTTCTGTTGACCATTAGCAGAATCATCTCTCAGTACCTTTTCTGGTTCCAGGTTTCCTTCATATTCCATGTTGTTTGTTCAGAAAAGCAACTTGCAAAATAAATGGCCCCTTAAAGGGGAGATTACTGCAGTAATGTGTAGTGTGTGTCTCAGGCTTGTAGTGACCAAATGCTGTCCAGAAGGCCCGCTTCTCTGCAGTTTCCCCGTGTTTCTTGCAGCAGGTTTTGGAGGATTTAGCTACGTTCTTGGTGTACAGTATGTGGAACTGCTGTCTTGTCCCTGGAGAAACCAGGTGGGACCCTGGGAGGACTTCTCCCGTTTTAACATAGTAAGTAGAAGTTGCTGCCTCTATACCACAGTAATAGAGAGATGGCTTCTCTTGCATTCCATTGTTAAGTCTTTCAAAGACTGCCAACCTTCTCTAATCTCTAGAGTCCTCCACCTTGCCTTACTGTAGAAGGTGTCTAGAAAAGAGCTTATCTGGTTATTAATAATTCTGTAATTACCAAAGAAGAACTTGGAGTTTAGATACTTGCACATGTACATGCGTGTGTGCCAGTGCACTCACATGTGTCCCTGAGTGTGTGCATGTGTGTCCCTCTGTCTATGTGTCTGCTGTTGGACACCAGCCCTATTTTGACAAAGCACATACTGTGTTCCTTTGATTGGTGTGCTCACATGGGTTTTAAAAAGACTTTCGTCTCTTAGTTGGAAGCCTTTTTGACAAACATCACTAAACAGTTTTCATGTGGAGATAAAATCAGCATATTTACAAGTTGACCACTTCAGAGTTCTCAGATGCCAGTGTCAGCTTGGACTTTCTCTCCTGTCTCTTTTCCCCATGTGTTGATTTCACCCCGCTTGCTTTTCTGTGGCGCTCTTGATTTTCTCTGTGCCTGCATTCTCTAGTTTCTAGAAGCCTAATTATATGTCTAACTGAGGTGGAAGTGTAATCTAAGTTGCTAGGTGGTTTTTGTAAATTGGGCTTTTAAAAACCTCCAAGGTACTCCTGATGATCTTGTTCTGTTTTGATGTGCCTGCCTTGAGTCATGTCTGTTGGGTTTGGGCTTGTTTCTGTTTTGAAGATTCTTCTGTGTTTTCTTGTGTGCCTGCTGGAATCGGGACCTTGTGGGCTGGTGCTTTGGGCTGTGCTGCAGTACTGTTGGGAGTTTACGTCAGGGCTTGCTTCATTTCTTAGCTCGTTCTCACCCTCTTTCCTGTCTTCTGTACGATGTTGGCACTTCTTTTGCAGGGTCCCCCAGCACCATTCAAGCCTTGCTCGTTTGGGGCAAAAGCTCGTTGAGTAAAATGTGGAAGTCCCAGCGGGAGAATCTGAATCGCTTTCTCAGGCACCTTACCGGCCAGGTGATAGTGCGAGCCTGGGTCTAGAACATAGCAGCCACGTGTACGTGCCACACAGATGTCACTAAACTGTTGTGACAGTTTTTCAGATGGCCTCAGAGGGAATAGAGTTTGATTTTACCCAGTAGACCCAAACATTTAAACACAGGACTTGAAACAAATGTCTTTTTAAAATAAATTACGACTTCTCACTTCAGCCCAGGACCAAGCTTGCAGTCACATTTTAAAAACATTTCTTCCCAAGAATATGTCTAATGAGCAGACTTAATAACAGCCCACTGGCCCGGACTTTGTAAATAATGGCAGGACATGAGCAGAACCGAGCCTTCCCGAGCAGCTTACGTCAAGAAGTTTGGTAAAGCAAAGTGTTGCTTTAATTCAATCCTGGCACTTTTCCTTTAGTTATAAAGCACATACCTGTGCCTGTCACATGTGGGACACACAGTGGGCTGAAGCCCTGGCTGGCAGAGTAAGAAGTGGGAAGTCGGTGAGGATGTGCTCTGGAAAGTGGGCTATGCTGAGCCGAGGTCTGGGACCTACCCCTTCTGGCTTTGAACACGCGCAGCCCTGTCATCATAATTCTTTCAGTGCCCACGTGAACTGTGACGTGGGGCTGGCTACTTCAGGTGCTGTCCCTCAGTTTCCTGGTTTGTCTCAGAAGGTGGTTTAGAGAATGAGAGGATCCTGAAGTACCCACCACATGTCAGTTTGGGGCCTGATGTGTGTTTGCAGTTATGTTGTTACCCTGCTTGGGGCTTGCTCCCCCTCAGCTTGCCAAAAAAGAATCGTCCAGGTTTTTCTCCTCTCTGCATTCTGGATTGACTGTGGTTTGTCTGCCCAGCTGCGGCACGAGTTACGTGATCTTCAGCAAGTGTTTGTGTGTTGTGTGTGGCTCTGGCCAGTGTTGGTGTTGGTGTCCTGTGATCCTGTCTGACGTACTCACTTGTCCTGAGATGCTGCCTTGTTCTCACTGGATGAGGAGCCAAGCATTGGATTGTGTGGGAGGAAAAGCTGAATTTTCTTCTCTTTAGAAAGGCTAAAGGCAGAGGCAGTTGAAGGAGGATTGTAATTGGGCTGGATAGCTCATTGGGATGCCATGTTAAACACAGGGCAGGAGTTAAGGGAGGTGCCCCCCTCAGTGGGGAGAGGAATGCTTCCTGGAAATGGGTCTGACTGGGCAGTAGGTTCACACACACACACACACACACACACACACACACACACATGCACACACCTCAGCGTGGGGAGGGGAGTGCTTCCTGGAAATGGGTCTGACCGGGCAGTAGGATCCTGGTGGAGCATAGAGCATGGGGGCAGAGCCAGCAGGACTTCTAGTGAGGGTTGGGACTGTGTGCAGGGTGCCTGAGAGCCTTGATTGCTGCCTGGCTTTGGGGCCTTGGTTCCTGTGCAGAGTGTTAGTTCACTTCCTCATTCAGATAAAAAGAGAAGAAGTGGGGTCCCCAAGGAGGTGTTTACATTCTCTAGACTACTCAGATGTTGAACATTATTTCATGTTTATGGCTGCAAAGGAAAACCTTTTTGTTTCCCAAGAAAAGTTGTAAAATGCAGATGACTACACAAAGTTAGTCATGGTAAAGTAAGCGTAATGATAGAAAAATCTTCCCTTTTCCAAAACAAAACTGTGCCACAGTTTACAAATACGTTCATATTTTTGTGATTTTTTCCCTTTTTTCATGGAAATGTAAAGTGATAAAATGAATTGAGAATTTTGATTTCTTTCTAACACTGGTTGCAGTTTCTCTTACTTGTTGTGTTGTGTACCCCTTCAGCTGGAGCATTGTACAGTGTGTACCCCTTCAGC